CAGCGATGGGAAACCGCCCCTGCTCCTCCGCGCGCGGCGGCGCGCGGCTCGCCAGCTCCAGCTCCATGGGCTGCTCGGCCTCGGACGGTCCAGGCGTGGGCTGCAGCGGCGGGCCCGGCTGCTCTGGGAGCCCCTGGCGCACGCCCCCGAACCAGTGCTTTCAGCCGCCACTTCACCTGCGAGTCGGCGGGGGGGGGACATGAAGGAGAGAGAAGGGCGTGACAGGAACATGGCGGGCCCGATTTGCAAACTATGCCGATTCACCTTGCTCCCCCGATTCTTGCCGCCCCGCTTGTGCCTCGCCGAAGCGAAACCCTTGGCTTCCCACGGCGGAACGCTCTGGGAGGGGCCGGCGCGCTCGGCTGCACCATGGCCCCCCCCCTCGTCGCGCCATGGAGCCGTGGCGTGCGCCTCCGCCTCCGCCTCCGCGGCAGCGGCCCTGCTGCTCGAGGCGGAGGGCCACCGCCAGGCGTTCCGCCAACCGCTGTCGGAGGCCCAGGCGGAGGACCACCAGTCGCCGTCGGAAGACCACGCCCCGCTCCACCAACCACCCCAGGCCATGGCGTCTGCCAGGGGCAGCGGCAACGGGAGCTGCGAACGCGCAGCGCGGCAACACGTGCTCGCTGCTCGAACCAACGCAGCAGCAAGGAGCGAGAACGCATGCATGACGCCTTTTCCCCTTTTTCCCGTGTTCCTTTTCCTCCTCTTCCTCTTCTTCCCTCTCCTCCTCCTCCTCCTCCTCCTCGGAGCCTCCTCGTCTTCCTCCTCCCCCTCCCCCCCTCCTCCTCATCCTCCTCCTCCTCCTCCCTCCCCCTCCTCCTCTCCTCCGCTCCTCCTCTCCTCAGTCCTCCTCCCCTCCTCCTCTCCTCCTCCTCCTCCTCCTCCTCCTCCTCCTCTCCTCCTCCACCCCTTCCTCCTCCACCTCCTTCCTCCTCCTCCTCCTCCTCCTCCTCCTCCTCCTCCTCCTCCTCCTCCTCCCTCCTCCCCCCCCCCTTCCTACTCCTCCTCCTCGTCCTCCTCCTTCTCCTCTTCCTCCTCCTCCTCCTCCCCCTCCTCCTTCCCTGGGCGCTGGTGGACCCTGCCACTGGGACCTTCACTGGAGCTCCCTCATTATGGGGCCACGGAGCGCGCGAGAGATGCGCCGGAATTGACCTGCGGAGAGCGGCCGCAAGGATGGGAGGGGGGAGGGGGAGAGGGGCCCGATACACTCATAAACCCAGATACTTTGAACAAAAACAAGCAACAACAAAGCACATAAATTCAAAGTATTAATTAATTATTTTTTTTTTAATAAAAAAAAAAAAAAAAAAAAAAAAAAAAAACTGAATTCCCAATGAAAAACCCAAATAAACAATGTAAAATCTGAAGAAACAATAGAAGATCATAATTTTTGAATTTCCGGTTAAAAATCTCACTGGCGAATAGACTTCCTTCCCTACAGGATCCTTGAATCATGCTAACCTTGCTCGGACTCGAGGGTCCCGGGGCACCGTCGGAGGAGGGGGCGCGCGATGGGCGGCACGGGCGGGCGCCGAAGACGCCGAGGGCACCGCGCCAGCCTCGCGGCCGCTCGCCGGCCGGCGGCCGCAGGTGGTCGCCGTCGGCTGTCGGCCGTGATCGCTCGCCGCCGCCGGAGGAGTTGAAGGGAGGAGGGGAAGGAAGGGGAAGGGGGGGAGGGAGCGGGGGAAGAAGGAGGCAGCGGTGGAAGAGGGAGGCAAGAGGGAGCGCGGGGGGAAAGAGGGTCCTGGACTTTTGCCGTCACGTCGTGGTAAGAAATAGCATGCCACCCCCAGGACTCGATGAGCACCACGGCGAAGACGAACAGGAGGCCCATCCGTGGAGCAACCCGAGAAGTTTGCGGGAGAGGGTGGGAATCAGGGGGGAGGGGAGAGGGGGAGGCGCGGAAAGAGACGAACGGAAAGGGAGGCGTCGGGAGGGGAGCCAATAGGCGCGGGAGCGGTTAGGGAAACGAGGAGGTAGAGGGAGGCGCGCAGGAAAGGCAGCGGGTGCTGCAGGAAAGAGGTTCCATGTTTGCTCGCCGCTTCCGGGTCCCTGGGGCCATCCACGGTCACTGGGGCTGTGGAAAAACGGCTCGGGAAAAAGAGCTGATCCTTGGGAAGCGCCCCGGGGTCCAAGACTCGTTTCTCTCAGATCCTCCTTCCTTCCTGGCGAAGAAGGGGGGTGGGACCGGGAGAAGGACGAGGCGGACTCCTCGGCGAGGACGAGGGACGAGGGAGGCGCGCGGGAGCAGGAGCACGAGGAGGAGGAGGAGCAGGAGGAGGAGCAGCAACGATGTTGCAATTGACCCTCCCTCCAAGCTCCCTCTTCAGGACCCTACAAGACATTATGTTCATTGCGGGGAGCGCCCCACTGGAAGACCACCGCCTGAGAGTCCTCAATCGTGCCAAACTACCACTGCTGTGACTTCAGCGCTGCGAATCAATGTAACTGTTGCGCCCCGACATTTCAACTCGTGCCAAAACACCATCCATGAGACTTGAACAGCTCGAACCCACGTGACTGCTGCGTCCTGACAACACTAAGTCGTGCCAGGACACCATCCATGGGATTTCGATCATACGGATCCTGGACACTGTTGCGCATGTTGAATACGAATGTGCGCGCCGGTAAGGCGATAGCCACAGTTTGAAAAGAAGCCACCCTCCATCCTTGACGAGTGTGCGCGGCGCTACTGCAAGAACCACAGCTTGACAAACAACACAACAACAAAAAACAACAAAATCCGTGAAACTGCGGCAAACGTTTACGACGAATGTGCGCGGCGCCAAGGCGAGAACCACACTTTAACAACCACTCACCCACCATCCCAGAAAATGTAGAAAATAATGCACACGGCGATAATGCGATGACCGCATGTTGAAAATCACCCGCCCTCCATCCATAAAACTCTTGCAAATCTCAGGTTGCAAGATCACGAATGGTGAGAAGTCTCAAGCGAAACGCCCGGCCCGCCCTACCGCCACGTCTAGGAGTGCGACCGGGAGGAGTCATTTTTAAGGATGAAGGGGGGGGACGGGGAGGGTGGAGGAAGAGGGTGGAGGATGAGGAGGGATCGCTGACAGCCAACGCCCTGAGAAAAGTCAAGGCGACAATTTCTCACCGTTTTGGCCGTTGAGAGACTCCTCGAAGAGCACCAGGGCGAGGACCCCTCGACGAGAACGAAGACAAAGACTCCTTATCCGCTTCGAGGAGGACGAGAAGGGAACTTACCCCGCGTCGAGGTCTACGAGCGCGATAGCCGCCACTGCGATGCCCTTCGAGGCGGTCGACGGGATCTGGCTAAGGGAAAGCACCCTCTGCCTGGGGAGAACTCTCGCTCGCCGCCGGCACCTGGGGGGGCGATTCAGTCGGGACCAAATGAGAGGACGCAGCACTCTTCCGAGAGCAACCTCTGCTCAGAACATGGAGTGACTTTTCAGGTTCGGCCTACAGATGAAGCCCGACTGCAGCAAGGGCCTGGCCGACGAGGGATGGCAGGGAGTGGGGGAGGAAAGGAAGCGGCCCTCTCCTCCGCCGTCGCATTTTTCCCGTCACCTGCCCCCCTAGGAATCTCGACCCCTTCCCCAGGGCCGATGTGTTATCCTGAAGTGCTCACGGCCTGGAGACGGGAAGCGGCCTTCAGGGGCCGAAGACGTCCACAAACTGGCCACACTGTTCTTGTTACGCCGCAGGGTCTGAGGCGAGGAGCCGAGCCGCCGAAGAGCGGAAGAGGTCGATGTCGCCGCCACCACCGCGAGAAACGAGAGCTGGTCTTAAGCGTGAATTTAAATTCGCAGGCCCAAGGGGCCAGAGGCGTGCTTCGATCTCCGGCAACAGGTTAACAATATTTCTGAATCGCGCGTGCGTGGCGGCCCCTGGGGACCCCCGGACGGAAAAGTATTCCAGCTGGTCCGACTCAGAGACTGTTTTTCCTTCTGGGCGTGGCTTTCAGGCGCCCCGGAGCGCTCCAAGAGGGCCCCAAGAGTCCCCAAGACGGTCCAAGAGGGCTCCGAGTCGCCGACCGATCGGTCCAAGACGCCCAAGATAGCCTCCAGACGGCCGCAGACGCCCCCAAGACGTCCAAAGAGGCCTCGAAGAAGCGTCTCCAAAGGGCCCCAACAAGCAAACAACGCCCCATTCCCTTCGGATAACATACGTTTGTCGCATGTACGACGTTTCTCATTTTTTTGGTATCCAAACGCTCCAAGACAGCCCAAGAGGCCCCCAAGACCGCCCCAAGACGGCCCAAGAAGCCTCCAAGAGGGCCCCAAGACGGCCCAAGATGGCCCGAAGACGGCCCATGAGGCGCCCAAGATGGCCGCAAAACGGCCCCAAGAGAGGCCGAAGACGGGGACCAGGAACCGAAAAGTCCAGCCTTCAGCCCCAAGAAGTCGCCAGCAGGCCCCAAGAGGCCCCCCAAAGGCCCCAAGGGGCCCACAAGAGGCACCCCAAGAGGCCCCAAGAGGCCCCCAAGAGACCCCAAATGGCCCCAACACGGCCCCCAAGAGGCCTCAAAACTGTCTCCCAGAGGCCCCCAAGAGGACACAGTACAGCCCCCAAGCGGCGAGGCAAGATGGGCCGGCGGAATGAGCGAAGCGATTAAATAATCTGCGCAACGTTTTAACGCAGTGTTGTTACGCAGCGGTTATTTTAAACACAGTGTTCTGTTTGCAGTGTTTTTGACGCAGCGTATTTTGTTACACAATGTGTTTTGTTTTCAACGCAGTGGTTATTCAACACAGTGGTTGATTAACGCAGTGTTTTACGCAGCGTTGTAAACGCATGTTTCTCAACGCAATGTGTTTAACGCCGTGTGTTGACGCAGAGTTGTTCACGCAGTGTTTGCTGTACGCAATGGTTTCACGCAACAAAAATCAACATATTGTTTTCAACGCAGCGCTGTATTCTTAACGCAGCGCTTGTTTGTTAAACACCGTGTTTTCATAATGCTTGAACGCAGTGCTGTGTTACGCAGTGCTTTTAATGCGGTGTGTTGTACACAGTGGTTGTTACGCAGTGTGTTGTGTTTACGCAGGGTTTTACACGAAGTATTATACGCAGTGTTTTGTACGCAGAGTTGTTTACACAGTTGTTTGTTTACGCAGTGTTTGGTTACGCAGTGCTGTTAACACAATGTGTTTCATGTATTGATGTGTTACGTGTTGTTCTCTATACAGTGATTCATGCGTGGTGGTTGACGCTTTGTGTTTGAGCAAACGCATTTCAATCATCGTTATCGGAGACGCGCGCTAAAACACTGTCTAGAAAACATTGCGTAGAAAACACTGCGCAGGTTAATTCCGCGATTCGGGCCCAGCTTTCGGGTTTCGGTTTTCTGGCTTCGGATTTCGAAGTTTGGGGTTCCGCGTTTCTGGCTGGCTTTCGGGTTTCGGTTCTCTGGCTTCGGATGTCTGGTCGGGTTCCGCGTTTCGGGCCGGCTTTCGGATTTCGGTTGTCTGGCTTCGGAATTCAAGTTGCTTGTGTTCCGCATTTCGGACTGGCTTTTCGGTGTCGATTCTCTGGCACTGGATTTTCGATGTTTTGGGCTCCGCGTTTCGGGTAGCCTGTCGAATTACGATGCTCTGGCTTCCGATTTGTTTGGTTCCGAGTTTCGGGCCGGCTTTCGGGTTTCTGTTTACTGGCTTCGGATGTTCGATGTTTTGGGTTCCGCGTTTCGGGCTGGCTTTCGGGTCCGATTGTCTGGAATGTTCTGGCCTCGAGTTTCGGTTTGCGGGCTTCGCTTTTCGATGGTCAGTTTTGCAACGCCTGGTACAGCGCCGAGGTAAGTGCCTAGCACAGCGCCTAGTACAGCCCCTAGTACAGCGCCTAGTACAGCACCGAGTGCAGCGCCTAGTACAGCGCCTCATCGAGCGGCACACAATGTAGAAAGCACTACGTAAAAAACACTACGCAGTAAAAAACACAACGTAGTAGAAAACACTACGTAGTACGAAACACTACATAATAGAAAGCACTACGTAATTGAAAACACTACGTAGTAGAAAGCACTACTTTGTAGAAAACACTAGGTGGAAAACGCTACGTGGAAAGCAAAACGTAAAATAATACTGCGTAGTTTTTAATTCATGATTAAGATTTCGATTTCACGATTAAGATAATCCTTGGAGAGGCATACATAGAGAGAGAGAGAGAGAGAACAAAAAAGTGAGAGAGATAGAGAGAGCGACCAGCCGCCCCACTGGGAGGGGTGGCGGCGGCCTCGCCGACCGCGACGACGGCGACTTCGGCGGCGCCGCTGCCGTCGATGCCAAGATCGAAGTCGAGGTCGTCGACGTCGCCGCCGCCGCCATCCAAGTCGTCGTCATCTACTGCGGCGTCCGCGTCGCGGACGCCGTCGCCGTCCGTGTCGTCGCCGCCGCCACCGCCGTCCCACTAGGGCCTCCCCAATCGGCGGCTGCGCCGCGCCGCCCGGAAAGCCTGGGCGGCCCCTCTGGACAGCGCCAGCAGGTACCTTTCCGCGTGTCATCATCATCATCATCATCATCATCATCAGCAGCAGCAGCAGCATCATCATAATCAGCATCAGCATCAGCATCAGCATCACCACCACCACCATCATCATCATCGTCATCAGCATGTTCAGCATCATCAGCATCAGCATGACCATCATCAGCAGCAGCATCAGTATCATCATCATCATCGTCGTCGTCATCATCACCATCATCAGCAGCAGCAACATCATCACCACCATCCATATCGTTAACACAATAATCATACTCAGAAGGATCACATCAACGCCGCCATCATCATCAGCATCAGCATCAGCATCATCATCACCATCACCATCACCACCACCACCATCATCGTCATCGGCATCAGCATGTTCAGTATCATCAGCATCAGCATGACCATCATCATCATCAGCAGCAGCATCATAGTCATAATAATCGTCGTCATCATCACCATCATCGTCAGCCGCCGCATCATCATCACCATCCATATCGTTAAAGCAATAATCATCATCATAAGGATCGCAGTAACACCGCCATTCTCGTCATCTTTACTGCCACACACATAATCAGCAACATCATCACCATCGTCATCATCGTCAATATCACAATCAGCATCATCAGCCGCAATCATCTCAGAAGCAGCAGCATCATCACCACCGCCACCACCATCATCATCGTCAGCATCATCATCATCACCACCACCACCATCCTCCTCATCCTCGTGAGCCTCATCATCGCTGCAATCAGCATCACCATCCTCATTCTCACAATCAGTATCATCAGCGTCATCAGCCGAGCTGCTCCTGAGGCCCGTCCCCAGACAGCATCTTCTGCGGGCGCTAAGCAGAAAGTCTTCTGGAGACAGGTCGTCGTCGTCGTCGTCGTCGTCAAAGCCGCCGTCATCGTCGTCATGCTCGTCGTCGTCGTCGCCGCCGCCGCCGCCGCCGTCGTCGTCGTCGTCGTCGTCGTCGTCCTCGTACCCGTCGTCGCACTCGTCGTACTCGCGGCACTCGTCGTCGTCATTGGGAGGGGGGGAGGGGGAGGAGCAAGGAGACAGGGGAGCTCATCGCCACCGGGAGGGCGGGAAGTGGGGGAGCAAGGAGGCAGAGAGGGAGGAGAGGAGGGAGGCAGAGGGACGAACTGGAGGCGGCGATTCGTCGCCGATGGTTCAACGATGGGCCTCCGACGGCGAGACCCCACGCTCCTCTGCGCAGGTCGGGGCGCCCAAGCCCTGCCTGGCGACGAGCGTGCGCCTGGGCGTCGATGCTCCCTCCCTCCCTGGGCCGTCACTCCGGATTCCACTGGACAGGCGCGTTCCGTTACTCGCAAAGGTAACTGCTCGCAAATGGCCTAGATCCGCCTCCAGGGAAATACGATGGAATACGTCAAGCAGACATGCGTTGTTGGGAAGTTTGCGAGTAGGCACTCTGCGAGCAGTGGAACGCGCTCGGCGATCCACAATCAAAAGAAGGGGGTCTGTTTTGGAGGGGGTCTGGGCAGAAGGCCACCCTTTCATGGCTGGTCTGTGGGGGTCTAATCTGCTCGTCTGCGAGGGTTGTGACCCCACCCCACCCCTTGATTATGGAATTCGGAGTACCCCCCAGCAGGATCAGCCAGGCTCTTCGTTTGCCATGCCGGCGGTACCAGGGTACACAAGAAAGAGCAACTCGGATCCGCCCTGAAATCCTTTTCTGGCAGGCTCGTGCGGCCACGAGCACAAGCGATGCAGCGCCAAGAACTGCTTGGCGCACCTCGCCACAGATTCGAGATGTTGACCCCACTGATCGAACAAAAATGGTGTTCACGAGTCGTGCGCTTTCTTGTGGTGAGGCGGGCCCGAAGGCCTGTGAGCGCCCTATGACCACCTCCTGGACCGCCCCCTCCCCCCTGCAGGATCAGTCAGCATCGAATCGGTAAATCGGATCCAATCGAGACGTGCATCAGATCGGGCTGCACCGGTACGGAGCCAGCCTCGAACCGGACCAACGTCATGCAGCATCGGGCCGCATCGGATCGTCGGGGCGCCCCTCATCGGCGCCTCCTGGGCCGTTTTCCCCCCCCGTCGGCGCCCCCGGTTGGACACTCCTCTCGCCCCCCCCCCCCGAGGGGAGGGCGGGCGAAGGCGCGGCGGGCAGGATCCGCCAGCACCTGCTTGGGAAACCAGATCGGATCTGAGTGCGCGCCCGAGTCGATCGGATCGGCTCGGCTCGGCTCGAAGTCGAAGTCGATCGGATGGGCTCGGATGGGATCGGAACGGATCGAATCGGGAAATCGGATCGGATCGGATCAGGCCGGATCGGCACGAAATCGAAGTCGAATCGGATTGGCCGCGCCAGGGTGCACAGCAGCGCCCTGCTAGCACCAGGCCGTATCGGACGGATCAGTCGGAGCAGCGGAGCCGGGCTGGCAAGGCGTGATATCGAGCGGGATCGAAGTCGGCGCGACCAGCGACGGCCGACGACCGACCGACGACCGACGGGTGGGGCGCGCGCGCGGGTGAGGGACAACCATTTGGGGCACAAACTCGGGGGGAAATATCGACCTGGAATCGCCGATACATGGCCGATAGATCGATACATTGCCAGTAGATCGGCGATGGGCCCCCGATTGGGAAACCGCGCGTTCCTGGACGCGGTGGGCTCAGGCCCCTATCGGCGCAGAATGGGCGCTTGGGGGTCGATGCATGCCCCCCCCGCATCCTCTGAGCATCGCATATCCTCGATATAGGCCGTTTCCTTCGGGTTTCGAAGGGTATAACCCCAAATGGGGTGCTAAGATGGTGGGAGTCTGGATGGGGATGGAGATGGGGATGGGGATCGGTTAAACGATACTGATCCTCCCCTGCGCTTGCATGCCGGTCAATTCGCTGCAATGGCGCCCCCGTTTACTAGCTCACCTCGCCAGCGCAGACGGCCCCTGCCTAGCCGCCGGCGAGAATTATCCCGGCAAAGCAAGCTAACAGCGATATGTAGAAGCATATCTGAAAGCACTCCCCTTAAGATTCAGATGAAAATCCAGTTGTAAAATTCTGCTGTTCTCGCAGTCGTAGTCGCATTCGCGATGACAGTCGCAGCGGCAACGGCAGTCGCAGTCACAGCCTCAGCCTCAGCCTGCCTCAGCCTCAGCCTCAGCCTGCCTCAGCCTCAGCCTGCCTCAGCCTCAGCCTCAGCCTGCTTCAGCCTCAGCCTCAGTCTGCCTTCAGCCTCGGCCTCAGCCTCAGCCTGCCTCAGCCTCAGCCTGCATCAGCCTCAGCCTCAGCCTCAGCCTGCCTCAGCATCAGCCTGCCTCAGCCTCAGCCTCAGCCTGCCTCAGCCTCAGCCTCAGTCTGCTTCAGCCTCAGCCTCAGTCTGCCTTCAGCCTCGGCCTCAGCCTCAGCCTGCCTCAGCCTCAGCCTGCCTCGGCCGCAGCATCAGCCTGCCTCAGCATTCAAAATGTGGCCCAGGAATGGAGTTCTGGGAACTAGAAGAACACGAAGTGGCCTACAGTTGGCTCCGGGCATTCAAAATCATGCCCAGGAATGGAGTTCTGGGAACTTGAAGAGCACGAAGTGGCCTACAGTTGGCTCCGGGCATCCAAAATGTGGCCCGGGAATGGAGTTCTGGGAATCGAAGAGCACGAAGTGGCCTACAGTTGGCTCCGGGCATCCAAAATGTGGCCCGGGAATGGAGTTCTGGGAAATCGAAGAGCACGAAGTGGCCTACAGTTGGCTCCGGGCATCCAAAATGTGGCCCGGGAATGGAGTTCTGGGAGGTCGAAGAGCACGAAGTGTGTGACTGTTGACGAAAAACGAGCCCGGCTCTGTTCCCGGTTCTCCAGAATGTGGCCCGGGAATGGAGTTCTGGGAGGTCGAAGAGCACGAAGTGTGTGACTGTTGGCGAAAAGCGAGCCCGGCTCTGTTCCCGGTTCTCCAGAATGTGGCCGGGGAATGGAGTTCTGGGAGGTCGAAGAGCACGAAGTGTGTGACCGTTGGCGAAAAACGATTCCCGGTTCTCCTCCCCGGCACCCGCCCAGACCCCCCTGAGGAGTCATGATGCTCTCTTTTGACCCCACTAGAAACCTATTAGCAAAGCTGTTAGGTAAAAATGTCTACGAATATTCTTTTTCGAATTTCGCAACCCTCCCGCTCCAGGTCCCCCCCCCTCTCGTCCGACCCGGCCCTAACGCTGCCCCCGAGCGGGGGGGGGCGCGCGGACCCCGCCGCCGCCGCCCCGCTCCGCGCGGCGGCCACCAGGGCAGTCCTGGGCGAGCGGGGGCGGAGCTGGAGGGCGCAGCGATGGGCAGGGGCGGGAGCGCGGGGGGGGGCTTCTCCTCCTCCTGTTCCTCCTGTTCCTCCTCCTGTTCCTCCTCCTGCTCCTCCTCCTCCTCCTCCTCCCCTTTTCCTGGCCCAGCCTGGGACCAGGTCCCGCCGCCCTGCGGCGCGCCCCTCCCGGAAGACCGAGCCAGGTGGCGAGGCCCGCGGAGAGTTCCTTGGGAGGAGGGGAGCTCGAGGAGTGGCGAAGCGTCCTGTGACCTGAAAACCAAGCTCGACGGCGCGCCCGGAAATTTGGCGAGGGCTGGGCTGCTCCCCCCCGGATTTCTATCAGAATTTGGGGTAACAAGCGGGTGCCCACTTCAGGGGGTAAAATGAGCACCCGCTTGTTACCCGAATCTCGGAGAGCCCAGGCTGCCCCGCCGAATTCCCCTGAATTTCGGGTAACAAGCGAGTGCCCATGTCAGAGGGTGAAATGGGAGCAACACGGGAGGGCCAGAAAAGCAGTGGGGGCGCCCGAACAGGGAGGGGCAGCAGCCTGTCCCCCAATAATTTGTTATGGCGAAAATATACATGGGAGACACGCGGGTGCGTACCCCCAAGACGGCTCCAAGAGGGAGTCCAGACGGGGGACCCCAACGGACATCTCAAGCCCTCGGCCCCAAGAAGCCCCGAGGAGGCCCCAAGAGGCCCCCAAGAGGCTCCAAAGAGGCCCGCAAGAGGCCTCAAAACTGCTACCCAGAGACTCCCGAGTGTGCTCCTGAGAGATCTCCGACGGCCATGTGTTGTTGTTGGTTTCTTCCTCTCTCTCTCTCTATCTCTCGGTTGTTTCTCTAAATATACATATGTCATATAGCACAACAACACGCACGTATCACGTAGGCGTATACATATAATCATGCATGCATGTATACATACATACATACATACATACATACGTACATACATACATACATACATACATACATACATACATACATACACACATACATACAGTCATGCATACATACATACAACCATACAGACATACATACACACGTATACATACATGCATACATACATACATGCATACGTCCATACATACATACATGCATGCATGCATGCATACATACACCTACCTACCTACCTACCTACCGACCGACCGACCGACCGACCGACCTACATATATACATACCTGCATACACACACACACACACATATACATACATACGCACACATTCATACGTACATGCATACATACGTGCATGCGCGCATGCCTGTATGCGTGCATACACACCTATTTACATACATGGATGCATACATGCATGCATGCGTACATACGTATGTGCATCCATCCATACATACATACATACATACATGCATGCATACATACATACATACACACACATACGTCAACACACATACAAGCATACACACATACATACACATACATACAAACATACAAACAACCAAACGTACATGCATACACACATACATACATGCCTGCATACATACATGCATGCATGCATGCATGCATGCATACATACACACACATTCACATGCATGCATGCATGCATATACACGCACCTACCTACATACAGACATACATACATTCAAGCCTCGGAATCGTATAGCAGGGGAACTGTGGAAACGCACAAATCATTAATTGCCGTTAAATATTCAACGATGTGGGACTCTCGAAGGCTTCCTGGATTCTTTTCTGGGGCCTTCATTGTGTCTGTTGACAAAGAAAAACAAAACGATCAGCTTGAAAAAAAACGGAATGGTGGGATTTCCTTTTGTTTCAAGATGTAGTGCTTGGGCTGTGGGTTAAACGTTTCCTGCATGCAGGCCACAGTCTGTTGGGATCCCTCTCGGGGTCTTCGTGCAAAAATAAGCAGGGGATGAGTTTGAAAAAAGGATCTCTCAAATTCCACTGTTTCAACTCATGGGATCATGGGATCCAGAATTCTACAATGGCTTCAGGGCAGCAAAGAGGACACGAAGACGATCCAAGAGAGTGCCAAGACAGCGTCAGAGAGTTCAACGGCATTCCCGAAACAAATTTGACCCCGAAGTCTTGATACATGGGGCTCGAGGAAGAGGATAGGGAGTAGGAGCCCCTGGGACTCCTACTCCCCTTTTTTGGAGTCTCTGGAATTCCCTGGAACTTGGAACAAAAAGGGGAATCAATGGAATTCCATGTGTTTCAAATTCCTCGGTCGTGGAGTGTTGGAAGCGAGTAAACGTGAGAAGGCGAAAAAAGAATACAACAACCACTGGAAAGCAACAGGTTAACCCTCTTCGGGCTCTCTCAGGACGGCTCTCGAAGCTCTCTTGGGACATTTGGGGGCCTCGTCGGAGACTTTCGGGGGGCCTATCAAGGGTCTGGCGCGTGTTGGAGGCCTATGGGGGGTCCCGGAGGCCTCCGGGATGTCTCTGTAAGACTCCTGCTCCCGCTCTTGGGTTCATCTTGGGCCTCTTGTCTGGGGTGGTCTGGAGCTGTCCGGGGGGGCGCCTCTTCGGCAGTCTTGGGGCCGTCTTGGCCCGTCTTAGGGCCGTCTTGGGGGCCTCTTGGGCGGTCTCGGGGCGGTCTTGCGGGTCTCTTCGGCCGTCTTGCTGCGTTGGAAACACGAAATGGTGAGAGAGCCAAGAACCATTGAACAAAAAACATGATAATTAAAACATGTCAGGCTCTCCGGGCGCTCTCGGGAGGCCTCACGGAGCTCTCTCGAGGTCTCTTGGAGGCCTCCTGGGAGCCTGGAGAGCCGCCCGGGAACTATCATGGGATGCTCGGGATCGTCTTGGGCCTTTCTTTGACGTTCTGGGGGCTTTTTGGGGTAATCTTTGGCCGTCCTTGGGCGTTTTGGGGGTTCCCCGGGAGGCCGGGAAGAGCGGCAACGGGACCGAGGTGTGAGCGAGGTGGAGGACGCCCCGGGAGGGGGCCCGGCGTATTTGTTTATTCCCGGCGGAGCCGGGGGAAATTCCGTGCCCGCCGGTGACTAACTGACTGATTGACTGACTGAAATTCAGGATGGCACCTTGAACAACACAATTCAAACCGCCCGCGGGCGCGCAACCGCAACTGGGCGAAACGTTTCAACCCGTCCGCGGGCGCGCAACCGCAACCGCAACTGGGCGACACATTTCAACCCGCCCGCGGGCGCGCAACCGCAACCGCACCTGGGCGAGACGTTTCAACCCGCCTGCGGGCGCGCAACCGCAACTGGGCGACGCATTTCAACCCGCCCGAGAGAGCGCAACCGCAACCGCAACTGGGCGACGCATTTCGACCAGCCCGCGGGCGCGCAACCGCAACCGCAACTGGGCGACACATTTCAACCCGTCCGCGGGCGCGCAACCGCAACCGCAACTGGACGACACATTTCGACCCGCCCGCGGGCGCTCAACCGCAACCGCAACTGGGCGACACATTTCAACCTGCCTGCGGGCGCGCAACCGCAACCGCAACTGGGCGACACATTTCAACCTGCCTGCGGGCGCGCAACCGCAACTGGGCGACGCGTTTCGACCCGCCCGCGGGCGCGCAACCGCAACCGCAACTGGGCGACGCGTTTCGAGCCGCCCGCGGGCGCGCAATAATAACCGCAACTGGGCGACACATGTCAACCAGCCCACGGGCGCGGAACCGCAACCGCAACTACGCGACACATTTCAACCCGCCCGCGGGCGCGCAACCGCAGCTGGGCGACGCATTTCACACCGCCCGCGGGCGAGCAAACGCAACCGCAACTACGCGACACATTGGGGCCCGCCCGCGGGCGCGCAACCGCAACCGCAACTGGGCGACGCATTTCAACCCGCCCGCGCGCGCGCAACCGCAACCGCAATTCGGCGACGCATTTCAACCCGTCCGCGGGCGCGCGACCGCAACTGGGCGACGCATTTCAACCCGCCCGAGAGAGCGCAACCGCAACCGCAACTGGGCAACACGTTTCGACCCGCCCGCGGGCGCGCAACCGCAACCGCAACTGGGCGACACAATTCAACGCGCCCGCGGGCGCGCAAACGCAACCGCAACTGGGCGACGCATTTCGGCCCGCCCGCGGGCGCGCAACCGCAACTGGGCGCATTCCAACCCGCCCACGGGCGCGCAACCGCAACCGCAACTATGCGACACATTTCGACCCGCCCGCGGGCGCGCAACCGCAGCTGGGCGACGCATTTCAACCCGCCCGTGGGCGCGCAACCGCAACCGGGCGACGCATTTCAATCCGCCCACGGGCGCGCAACCGCCACCCCAACTGGGCGACGCATTTCAACCCGCCCGCGGGCTCGCAACCGTAACCGCGCCGCTCACCTGCCGCCCTCCTCCAGGGGATCTGAATCAGAGGAAGGGCGGGGGGGGGGCGGGAGGGGGGGGGGCGGGCTAGCCGCCCCCTACGGGGGGGACAAGGCTTCGACAGAAGCGGTCCGTTGCACCGCCTACTTGAAATTGGGGGGGGCGATGCCGCGGGGGCCGATTGCGCGCGCGCTCGCCCGCGCGCAAGCTGCCGGCGGAAGTAGGTGCATCGGCGCCGTCTCATTCACGCAATCTGCCCCGTCTTCTTCATGATCTGGCGCCCGTCCGACTGGGACCAATTCCGGCTACGCCACCCCCGAACTCGGACAAATCCCGGCCGCCCTCATGGATTCAAGTTGTCTTTTTCTAAGGATTCATTTTGCTCCCGTGTTTGTGGGAGCCGGGATTAGTACTAAGTCGGTGCACTTTCCTCTTGTGGTGCTGCGACGCCATCGTGGCGAGTACGGCGGTGACGCATGTGTGCCGTATGTGTTTCGTATGTGTTTCGCATGTGTTTGGTATGCGTCCGCCACGTGATTCGCATGAAAATCGTATATGACTCGGATTGTTTCGTAGATGCTTCGTATACGTTCTGTATACGTTCCGCATGTTGTATGTGCAGCTACATGTGTTCCCCTTGTGCGTTATCAGAATATACTTCAACCGCGCATCATTGATACCGCGTGCTATAAGAGGTGTAGTCATGT